AGAGATGGGGGAGGGAGGCGGGGATAGAGAGGGGGATAGAGAGGGAGATAGAGAGGGAGGAAGGGAAATATGTTCTTGATTTTCATTTCGTTTTCTTTCCTTTCTTTCTAAATTTGTTATTTATATGCTATGCTATACTATGCTCTGAGCTAGGGGGCATTATTATACCACCATCCATCCCACCATCCCATCATCCCATACCATAAGAGAGATTCCAATACTTGTACTAGTATACTCGAGTATTTGAAAAAGATAAAGATTGTTCAATTTCAAATCTCTACAGTACGAGTTACTGAGTTACTCGTAAACACAATTGAATCATCATTTCAAACAAACAATTCATTATTCCAAATATATATATTCAATGATTGAGATGGATTGAAATGGATTGATATGTTCTTGATACATTCTTGATATAATAATACTCAAGTAACGGTTATTCCATATTTTTATTTTTACAGTAAAGCCAAAATAATGTTTGAGATATACATACAAATATTACTCGAGTACAGTATTATATTCAGGAAACAAGTATTAGAAAACGAGTACCTACCTAGTCACGGTCTAGTCTGGACTACCTACTTCCTACCTACCTACCTACCTAGGTACTCGTTAAATATAATATCCTGATATCGACTCTCTCTCTCTTTCTCGCTCCAAGTCGTCATATCAATACTCGTAGTACTCGTAACCGGTTATAATTAGATTATAATCCAGACAGACTATTGGATATACCATGGTTGATAGGTGTACTAAGTTTTAATTTCTAAGTTCTTGGAGTTTGCTGCTTGCTGCTTACTACATCTCTTTTATTTTATTTTATTTTATTTTATTTTATTTTATTTATCTTTCTATCTATCTTTCTAAATTTATACGCACGCTTGCTTATACGAGTAGAGAGAGAGAGAGAGAGAGAGAGAGAGAGAGAGAGAGAAGAGATTGGCTGTTGTGCTGTGCTGTTTCCTTTCCTTTCCAATCCAATCCAATCCAAATTTCATTGCTATTCCTCTTGTTTATTTTCCCAAATATCCCGTGCATGTGTGTATGTATGCCTGCCTGCCTGCCTCGACGCCGGAACTCCTGTGTTTGGCTACCTACCTGCCTGCCTATCCTTGATATAAATATGAATAGAATGTAAGATTGACCTCTCCTCTCACAGAACCAATACGAGCACCAATAATAAAATCAAGACAAAGATCAAAATCCCAATACAACAACTACTCAACCCATCCTCATTCGCCTTGACCAACCTGTTCATCCTCTTCATGCCCCCTTGTAACCGTCCGCTTACGCGATCCGTCACCGTCTCCACATCCTCTAGCATGCCTGTTTGTTCTTCGAGTTCACGGCCCATGTCATTGGCTTGTTGGCGTAGGTTGCCGACGGTGTGGTATACGCTGTCCAATTGCTCGTCTTGTTGTTTTAGCATTTGGAGTTGTTGCTGGTGTTCGAATTCCGCGGCGTAGTCATCGTCTAATGGTGACCCATGCTCGTTTTCATCTTGGTAGGAGCCTCCTGAAGGACCCATGTTTCCCATGGTTTTCTCGAGCTCCTCGCGCATATCATCGACTTCTCCTCCAATCTCCTCAATCATCCGTACCCGCCGACTCACCTCTTCGATTTGTAAACCATATTTGTAGGGGTCGGCTTGAATGGCGGAGATGGAATCGCGGAGATCGGCGAGGTCGTCTGTTAGGAGGGAGAGGGAGGTGGTGAGGTCGGAGCGGGCGGAGATGAGCTCGGGGGTGGGGTGAGGAGATTTGGTTAGGGAGTGGATGCGCAGGTAGGAGGTGAAGAGGGGGCGCGTGAGGGATAGTTGGTGGTGGACATCACTGAGGTGGTATTAGTTGATGATGCGCAATATATTGTATGAAGGGGTTAGATATGATTGAGAAAGTATGCGCTATTGGGAATGTAATTGATCATGCGCAATTGGGAAGTGTATGCAGGGGACGAAGTTTGCGTATGAGTTCATGCGCAATGATTGGGAAGCGAGAGATGAAGAGGGAGGTGATGTACATGCATGTATGCACTCATGCGGTCGCAGAAGTATATTTCAGGGCTGTTGCGTAAGAAGTGAGAGTGTGAGAGGTAAGGCAGACTGCGGGAAGAAGAACCAACTTGCAAAGGTCGCAGAAGGGTAAAGTGCAAGGGGGGCGAGATACGAATAGAAAGCTAGAATAACATACGCTTGAACTTGTAGAAATGGGTCATCTTCGTTTGTAGCGGACATCATTTTGAAAGAGTGTTTTCTTCGAAGAGTTTGAGCAGCTCAGAGCCGCAAGTTATGATTGCGTACTCCACAGATGATGTTGTCTAATCGAGATTTAAGACACATATGCAATGAAAGTCGGTTGAGCCGCACAAGTATACGAGGAGCTGGAGCTCTCCACAGTACAATTAAGTCTATCGGGAGCTGAAATACAAGCAAGCCGGTCCGTTTGCACAGCACAATCAATCGATAGGTTGTAAGAGGAGGCGTAAGATTAAGGTAGGATGCGTATGCATGAAATGTCTAGATAAGATGTGTTATGCAGCACATTAATGTTGGTATCCGGGGTTTGGGGAGAAGTTGTTTATGACAAGGCTGACAGATAGAAGACGAAGAAGAAGGGGGCTGGATCTAATCCACATTTCGCTTACGTAACCTTCCTTATGGCTCGGGGATTGATAATAACTATCTTCTCTCAATTGCTACCCCCCTCCCTGGCCCTCTCTTTCATGTCGCTAACCCTTAATCGTTTATATGAATGATTGAAACCATTTAAATCATTCTAACTTACTGAATATTGAATGATTGAAACCATTTAAACCATTCGACAGTAACTTACTGAATATTGAAATCGTTCAAATTGACTTGAATAAAAAGTTGTAAATAAATTTGAAATCATCGATTTAGAATGAAACAATGAAATGTTCTATTAGGTTTAAACCATGATTTCAAATCTCATTGCAATATTTCATTTCACTTCACTCGGCCCAGACCTCAGACCTCAGAATGCACAGCATGAACTAGTGAAATATTATTCTCCAGTCATTGTTACTTATCATATGAATATGTCGAATGAGACACAAGAACAAGGCAAAGGGAGAGGCAAAGGCTAATAGGCAAAAAGGGGGGTAAGCATATATCAGGTAAGAAAACGAGAAGAGGGGTATGTGGTTGTACAAACAATAACAACAGCGAATGAAAACATGTGAGATACTGCGAGATGCTGTGAATTTCTCCCAATTATCCCAATTTTAATCTTCCATGCTTTCTTGGGCGGCAAGCTGCATTTTTGAACAACCACCACTAACAAACATTGCATCAAAAACAACCCAAATACCCCTTGTCAAGCAATTTTGATACTACCAACCTCTTTTTTAAACTTCAACTGTTGAAATATTGAAATAAGTTATTGAACAACATCCTCTCAACCAAGGAATTGGAAACATTGGAAACATTGCGATTGTTGTACCTCCTCCTTGTAAACTTCTTGTACATGCATACTAGGTAGTATTTGCTATCGTGTCGTTTTCATCTGGTCATATTTTAGGACGACGTGGCCAGTGCCCCTTGATCTCCTTGTCATATTCCATACCTTTGACAAATCGCCACACCTTCGCTGTAATTCTCCTCAGCCTGGTTTTCGGGTCTTGTCACAGACTTCAATTTTTCTGTCAGAAGGGTACTAGCATCAACATTTCTCAAAATAGTGTAGCAAATCATATGGGTTGATTGTTTGTTCCTCTCATATTCATCGAATTTTGCCATTTTTCTCATGTCTTTTTAGGGACTAGAGCAGCCACTAGTAAGTTATCAGTAGTAGTATTCCGCTCTGTTGCCTACTTGGAGTCAGAACTTTATCAAATCTCTTCTAAAGAAAGAATTTGTTGCAATAACCTTTCATTCCTTGTTGGTATCAGAAAAGCACTGTAGCTCTCGTGTTTGCAGGAGCTTCCTAGACGATATCCCAGTGACATGGTACTGGTGCATCTTTTAAGATTACACTTCTTACAGTCCATACAGTCCATACACATCATACTACGTTTGTCTTTAAGCCGGTGAATCAGAGGAGATCTCTACATACCATTCACGCCATTCACGCCGTTTGTGCTGTGCCGCGTAGTTCGGTTTGAATCACTGCATATGCGCCCCTTCCCCACTGAGTTGCACTTATTTATACCTTACCTTACTGCCGAAGCTCAACTTTACCAGTCAAAAATCACACATAAGTTTACGCCCAACGATAAAATCCACCTCACACTTTGCTTTGCAGGCCACTTATACACAACGCTCAATACCATACCTTAGGGCGTTCATATTCATTGCTCACCCCTCCTCTTCGGTGCCGCAAACAACTTTATCTATTTGCTTGTTCAACTTGAGGTTAATTTATGAACTCAAAGAGGATGAATGCCTTAGATCTCGATGCGGTCTTGGAAGCTCTGCACCAGAACTTATCTGTGTCATCTAACACGAGCACAACGGCAACCTTGCTTGGGGGGTTATTACCGACCACTCTCCTCGAAAATCTCATCCCTGGATATGGCTACATTCACAAGATCGTCTTACAAACCGTTGGTTTTGACATCACACTTCTTGTTTCTCTATGGGCTGCTTTGTGGTTGGGAAATAAGGCTTTCGATGCATTGTGGGCGTTTGGATGGACATTCGTGAGGTTACATTGGATGTCTGACATCTCTATTGGCAGTAGAGATGAGATTCACGACGAAGTTATAGAATTCCTAGCGCACAAGTATCAAATGAAGCCTTCTCGCTCGCTCCAGGCAGAAACAACACGACGGGGATATTGGGACCTGGATAACGAGGATGCGGTTACCTTAACACAGCTCGACGGAACTGGTACCATACAATGGCTCAATTTTGCCGACCAAGACTCCAAGACTCAACCTCAGTTCACGCCATCTATAGGAGGTAGTCATGAATTTTGGCACAATGGGAGATACTTTCGAGTTAAACGTTCGAAGGAAATGGTTTTCTCATCTTCTACGTATGACAACAATCCAGTGTCCGATCAACAAACACTTCTCATCTCTTGCTACGGTCGTACCACAGCACCTATCAAAACATTTCTCCAGGATGCCAAAGATTATTCGAATAGAAACCACAGTGCAAAGACGGTCATCCGTCGACCGGCAAACAAGGAACGTCGAACGTGGGGGGGTCGAAGTGCTTGGACTGAGGTAGCTAGAAGACCATGTCGTCCAATGAGAACAGTGGTTTTGGACGAGGATATGAAGAGTAATGTTTTACTTGACATTAACGAATATTTGAATCCCTCAACCGCTCGCTGGTACGCCATTCGCGGTATTCCTTATCGTAGAGGTTACCTCTTTCATGGGCCTCCGGGAACTGGCAAAACTTCGTTAACATTTGCTCTCGCGGGTGTTTTCGGGCTAAACATCTATGTTGTCAGTCTACTAGAACCTACGCTCACCGAAGAAGAACTCGGCAATCTCTTCACCAACTTACCGCCTAGGTGCATTGTATTATTGGAGGATATCGACACTGCAGGCTTAACACGAGTTGAAAAGAAAGACGAGTCGTCGGATGAATCCAGCTCCGACAGTAGCAGCAGTAGCAGCGAGGATGAAGCGGCCACCAAAAAATCACGCAGAAAGAGCAAGGGCAAAAGCAAGGGCAAGGGCAAAAGTGGTAAGAGTAAGCACGGCAAAAGCAGGAAAAGTAAAAAAGATGATGACGAAAAGAAAGGAATTTCACTATCTGGTCTACTAAACGTAAGATCTCAATTTCCTTCTCGCCGTTTCCGCGTATTAAAGCCTTGAGATCTGATGATATATTTAGATCATCGACGGTGTAGCGTCACATGAAGGTCGCGTCTTAGTAATGACGACAAACCATCCCGAAAAGCTAGATGAAGCTCTTATCCGACCCGGCCGCGTGGATCATCAAGTCGCATTCACGAACGCCACTCGTCATCAAATCCAAGAGATCTTCGAGAGAATGTACTCCAAAGACCCACCGCGCGAGAAACTCATCGCTACCACATCACCAGCTACATCACCCGTTACTAAAATGCAACTCCCCATCAAAGAAGAAGAAACTCCTCTCCTCACCCCAAGCCCAGAATCTACGACCCAAGAAGTTGAGAGCAGTCACGCAAATCCGAACTCAAATCCGATTTTGGAAAAACGTCCTTTGACGCCACCGGATACTCCAATCACCGTCGAAACCGAAACCGAAGCCATTGCATCGACCAAAAAGAAAACTCTCACAATAGCTGATATTGAGAAAAATGGAGAGGAGGAAAAATTGGCAGAAGGGGAATTATCGATCCTAGCGAAGCAATTCTCGGAGTATATTGAGGATTTCAAGTTTAGTCCAGCAGAGGTTCAAGGGTTCTTGTTGACCAGGAAGAAATCGCCTAGGAAGGCAGTGAGTGAGATTGGTGCTTGGGTTGCTATTACTAAGAAGAGTAAGGTGGAGGGGCAGAAATTTAGTTGAGGGGTGTGTTGAGGTTGTATGGGGGAGGAAGTTGGTGGGTGGAGAGTGAGTTATTGTTCTTGTTCTTCCTGTGAACTGCAAGAAGTGGGTGGCAAATTGGGCATTTTTCTCATACAGTTTGATGAGATGGTGTGTACAATACTGCATAGTTTGGGGTGCAAGAAAGAAAGAAAGAAAGAAAGAAAGAAAGAAGGAAAGAAAGAAAGAAAGACGGAAAGGAGAAAAGAAATACGAGAAAAAAAGAAGAAACAAAATAGCAAAAGGTAGCATGGTTTGAGGGGTAGGAAGAGCCCATAGCGAATACGACATACCATACAAATATGCGATTCTCCATCACAAAACCCCGTTTTTCATTGGATAGAATGGAGTTTGTTGTTTCGCGCATTTCCCATTCTCATCATTTACAATTTCGGACAAGAAGTTTGCGGCATCACGTTCATCATCGTCAAGATCGTCATCATTATCACATAGCATTTTCCATTTATCTATCTGTTGAGTATCTTCTATCTATTCATTCCGCAAAGGGGATATGGGTGGAAGGAAGTTGACGGTTTATTATTGGATTTCTTGATTTGGATATTCATCTGAAGTTTCGAGATTTTTTTTGTATGCGTGCTGGGTTCTACCAATTGACATGGGCTGGCTGGGAGTAGGGTAGGAAAGGGAAAGGGAAAGGGAAAGGGAAAGGGAAAGGGAAAGGGAAAGGGAAAGGGAAAGGGAAAGGGAAAGAGAAAGGGAAAGGGAAAGGGAAAGGGAACGGGAAAGGGAATTGGAATTGGATATGGAAGTGGAAGGGGAAATGGATAGGGACAGGGAAAGGGATATGGATATATTGGTATTGGTATTGGAATTGGAACTGGATATGGATATGGATACGAAAATGGAACTGGAACTGGAACTGGATATGAAAACGAAAATGGAGTTTGGCTTAAATTAGCTTATACATGACTGATATTAATACTCGAGTAGTTTTTGTTCTTCAATGCATGGGTTTTTTATTACGAGTACATGTCATATTACGGTTCGGTTCGGTTTTTTTATACTGCTTGGTAACTTACTTGTATATGTAAGATGTGTACTCGTAAGATTGAGTTGTATAGCGTAAGAGATAGGTGGTAGGTGGTAGGTGGTATATTTTCTTTGTGTGTGTGAACTTTGAAGAAAATTATACTGTACTGTACTCGAGTAGATAGGATAGATGCTTGTAGAGTTCTGGTATGGGGTATGGTATTGTATGGTAAGGAATTCCAAATTATATGAAATTATATAAACCTTTAAGCTAGCAATAGCTTTTTTTGATTTTGCCTATGCCTCTTCAAAGACTCGCCTGAGTAAATGAATTATATCTATATTATATAATTTTCCTTTGTTTCGTTTCGTTTTGTTTTATTTTATTTTGTTCTATTTCTTTGTCTATTTGTTTCTGTCACTGTCACTGTCACATGGTAAATTAGATTGATTAAAGAGTAAAGTGAATGGTTTAACCGAGGAGACGGGGGAAGGCGGGGGAAGGGATTGAATTGTATTTATGATTAGATGTCGGTACGAAGACGGAGATGTAACGGTAACAGAGTATTAATATAATAGTTGGGTAATAGTTGGAGATGAGAATGGGAATATATGGAATGGGGTATGGAAAGGTTTGGATTATACGAGTAATTGTTGATGAGATTGGGATTTGTATGGGATTGATGATTGGGATGGAATTGAAGCGTCGAACAAACACAACATTAACTTACCTCTATCCTTAAAGGTTATAGAGTACATATCCAGAAGTATTTACATACCAACGTACCAACGAAGGAAAAGAAAAAGAGTATATGTACATATCCGAGTATACGGAGTACGGTACATTTTTTGACAAGGTTACAGTATGAGTGACGGAAATGGGAATGGAAATGGAAAGGGGATTGGAATAGATGTGGGAATGGATATGGGAAAGGGGAAAGGTAAAGCGACAAACCCGGGTTCAAAATCATCTAAAGAAGATAATCTCGATATAAATGTACCGAATCAACGAGATGAATCGCTATTATCACGTATCGGCGCTTCGGCCACGGGACTAGGAAAAGAGGTTTTTATGGGAGGTGCTGGTACTGGTTATGGGGAGGATTTAGGGAGTGATGCGGTGGCGTTGATGAAGGGGTTGCGGAAAGGTGAAAATGATGCTGGGTCGTCCTCGGCTGGGTCGGGAGTATTCGAAAATTCGGGGTTTGCAAGAGAGGGAGTGCGTGGATTGCGGGGTAGCGATACCCAGGGAATTGAAGGGGGAGAGAGCGCTCGACATGTGCTGCGGAGCGAGGAAGAATTTTCGGGGTTTTTGGATGGGATGTCGGGATTGGGTATGGAGATTGAAGGTATGTGCTTCAGAGGAGGACTAAGAGATGATACGGTGAAGGGGGAGGAGGATCAAAATGTCCTAAATTTGCATGAGATCTGGGAACATGGAGGCGCGTTGGATGGGATACCGAATACGAATTCCGTTTCCAGACTCGACGACGGCAATTCCACGTCTGCAACTTCGGGTTCTATATCAACATTACCATATGAAGTTACTTCCAAACCATCACACTTAAATCAGACTATACAACCGATGGCAGGAATACCAGGAAGTCACGATACTGCGAATTTGGGATGGGAAAATGTATGGAGTTCTACTCTTGGTGCTGGTACTTCTGGTACACGGGCTAGAGATGATATGGATGTGGATACACAGTCTACAAACGACAGAGATGAAACAAAAACAACCCGAATATATCAAAACCCTCCAATGCTCAAGGAAACGCAACATACTCCTTCATCTCCTCTTCATGTGCACTCTCTCGCTCTCTCTCCTCGACTTTATGGAGATAGAGATAACGGGATTGGGGAAAATACAAATACAAACTTAAATACAAACTCAAATAACACAAGTATATGCCAACAACAAAGCAAAGATGGAGCAGAAGTATCCGCACTCCTTTCTACCCCCCTCAACACGACCATCTTGCGAGAGGAAATTGAAGGGCTGGGGCTCGATGGTGAAGGCGAGGGGGTGGTGGGGACATATGGATTGGGGGTTGAGTGGGGAGCAGAGGGAGAGGATTGTGGTGATTACGAGGGGGTTGGGTTTCCGGAGGTGGAGGGGGAGGGGGAGGGGGAGGGCGGGTTTCGGGGGAGGTGGTGGG